TGCCAGTTTCCAAGGTGTAAATAAATATTCCTACTGAAAATTTAACAATCGTTCTCTGGTGCCAATACCAGCTGGCTTTAGCACATTCCTGTGATAGTCCAAAATTTCTCCTTAGGGGTAAGAGAGGAATCCTCGTCCTGGTAATATAAACTACAAAATCATAACATACCAGGCAGTTCTCACCTTTGCCTGATTTCCCCAGTTGCTAGTTGGCAACCCCCACCCCAACCCATGACTGTATTTATTTTGCTTGTGCTCTGTATTTACTTAGTCTCCCCGATAGAATATAAACTCCCAGAGTCAAGAACTGTCTCACTTTTGTGTTTGAATTCCTAACGCCTGTCACAATGTCTGGCATATATGGTAGGCATTTAATAAATGTTTGTTGATTGGCTCTCTTCCACCTTTGAAATTCTGCGATTTAGTGAAGGCTAATGGATCTTTATGTTCATATAGAAACAGTAATTTGTCCTTTGGATTTTCACTTAGGAAAAAGACCAACAGCTGCCTTTTCAGCTGACACAAGGTTGCCTATTTCCACATTTCAATCTGCCACCTTTTGGCAATCTATGCTAACTACAATTTCTGCAGCTGTTTCCTATAGGGATATTCCTACTACAATTCTGTCCAATGCAAATGTTCAAACAAAGGGGGGGTCTATGTTTCTTTTATGAAGCCTGAATTTACAAAGGAACTGCATTTCCATTAGGTTGGGGATGAGATTTGTCTCCCAGGCCTGTGAGGTAGGATGGGATCTGAACAGAGAATCATCAGTTGAAAGTTGGAGGGGACCTACAGGTCAACTCCCCTCATTTTACAGATGAGGAATTGGTTGTTTTTGTCAGTTGTGTCCAAATCTTCATGACCCCATTTGGGGTTTTCTTGACAGAGATACTGAAATGATCTGCCATTTCCTTCTCTGGCTCATTTTACAGACAAGAAAACTGAGGCCAACAAGGTTCAGTGACTGGTCCAGGGTCACACAGCTAGTAAGTATCTGAGGTCAGATTTGAACTCAAGGAAGATGAGTCTTCCTGACTCCAGGCCTCGTGCTCAGGCCACTGTGCCACCTCCCTGCCCTATAGATGAGCAAACTGAGGCCCAATAGAGATTAAATGCCTTGGCTAAAGTCACACAGGAAGGAAATGAGAGGCAGAATTTGAGTCCAGGTGTCCTCTGACTCCAAATCTGACATTCTATCACCTGTACCATGCTACTTCTATCCTTGAATTGCTGAAGGAAATTCAGAATGCAGAGCCAATGACATGTTCCCCAGTAGACTGTTTCAGTAGACTCTAGTCAGACTGTTTCAGTTTGTGGCAATCCATTACTGGTGCTTCTCAGGGTTGCACTACTCTCTTCTTTCTCTCCAGTTTCTGATTGAAGAGGAAGCCTTGAATTGCCAAGGCCCTACATTTGCCTTAGATCTCATCCCTTCCATCTTCTCCAGAAGATTACAACCTCAATCATCTCCCCATCTCTCTTTAATCTCCCACTTCTTCCTATTTACTGACTCCTTCCTTCCTGTCTTTAAACATGCTTGAGTCTCCCTCATCCTTAAAAAAACTTCTACTAGATACTACCATCCCCCCATGCTGTCATCCTCTATCTCTCCTCCCTTTCTCATTCAAATTTTTTGAAAAAGCTACATACACATCCACTGTTGCATTTCTCCTTTCACTCACTCTTCAACTCTTGGCACATTGGCTTCTTTGCCGTTCTATGCCTCATTTTACCTAGCCTTAATCACTGAACGGGTGTTGCCTCAGTCAAACTGAGCCCTGTTAAAGACCTTAGCTTAAAAGGCCAAGGTCTCCCACCCCATCCTGGGCCATCTCCAGTCGTCCTGATCTGTATCTGGCCATTGGTCCCACCTGGCTCCGGAGGAGAAAGTGAGGCTGGTGACTTTGCACAGCTCTCTCTCACTCAAATTCAATTCACTGCAAGTCACGGCATCACCTCCCTGATGTCATGGTTTTCTTTAAGAACTAAGGATGAACAACAGCAACAACAATCTTCCCTCTTCGTTCAATTCAAACTACTCTCTCCAAAGTTACCAAGAATCTCTACTTGCCACATTTAATGGTCTTTCTCAGTCTTCATCCTTCTTGACTTTGTTTGTCATTGACTATTTCCTGGATGCTCTTTCCTCTCAGGGCTTTCATGACATTATTCTTTCCTGGTTCTCTTTCTGCCCGTCTGACCTCTTTCCACCATCTTTTTTTTTTTTCTGGAGATCATCCACGTCACGTTTCCTGTGAGTATACAACGAGGTTCAATCCCAGGCAGGCCCTCTTCTTTACTTTTTCTCTCCCAGTAACCTTATTAACTTCCATGGGTTTAATTATTATCTCTGTGCAGATGATGGGGCAGCTAGGTGGCCAGTGCAGAGTGCTAGGTCTGGAGTCAGGAGGCCTGAGTTCAAATCCAGCCTCAGACACTTATTGTCAAAGAGAATTTTAAATGAAAACAGTCAATACAACAAAATGGAGTTCTTTAATAGGGCAAGAGAGTTTCAGCTCAAGGTGCCACACAGCAAGTGCTGGGATACCCCAAGAGGAGTCTGGGAACAGGATTTATATAGGCTACTAAGGCAAAGAGGTACTAGGCTGCAGGTGGGAGGGGTTAGCCATCTGTTTCACTAGGTAAATTGTTTTACATAGCAAGCTAAATTCCCTTAAGAAAGCAGGAACTTCTGAAGGGGAGAGTTCGGGAGATCTACAAAAGAATCAGGGTCTGGAAGTGATCAGTCTGGTCAGCCCTAGGCAATTCATTGGCCTGGGAACTGAGACCTGGGCAGCTTCAGTCCGTTCTTAATCAACTGTGTTTGTCACTTGCTAGCTGTGTGACTCTGAGCAAGTCACTTAACTCTGTTTGCCTCAGTTTCCTCATCTGTAAAATGAGCTGGAGAAGGAAATGGTAAACCAGTCCAGTATCTTTGCCAAGAAAACCTCAAATGGGGTTATGAAGAGTTAGATATGCCTGAAAAATGACTGAACAACAGAAATGCTGATGACAGATTTATCTACCCATATCCCTCAGAGGAGAGAAAGCCTTTCCGTTTTAGCATCGTCTCACTGGACACCATTCCTAGAGCCAAACCAAGAGTAGAGGGAGATCCAAGGAGAGCAGCTGAAGAGAGTGGACTGGTGAAGCCTACTAAGCCCTTTTCCATTCTACAACTGTAGCCAAAGAGGCTACTGTTCCATATGTGGTGCCAGGTACAGAACATATGCATTGCTCCCCAGTCTCTCCAAGGCACCTCCAATTTATTCTCCCTTCCACATCGGGCATTTGCATCAGCCACGCCCGCTGGTGTAGTCTGTGCATGAGCATATTACACCTGCTACACCGAGCCAGGATCCTTGTTACAATGTTAGATTTCATTCATTCATTTATTCATTCATTCACTTATCTATATTCAAGCAGTCTGTCCAAAGAATTCTGAACTTGGCATTCTTCAGAACCCCGAGAGGCAGAAAGCACAGGGTGAGACTGAGAAGGATCAGTTAGACACAGGTAGAAAGGGAGCGAGGAGGGAGCCAAGAGATATTGAAGAGGATGAAGAGTGGGAAAAGTCCCCGGCGTTTGCACAGATAAGGAGGTCGATATCCTTGGGGACAGGGCGCGAGTGAGAGGCTTCTGCAGCCAGGTTGGCAGGGATTGAGAAATAAGCGAGCGAGTGCAGAGTGTAGACTATTCTTTCTAGATGTTTGTCAGCGTAGGGGAAAGGCCATGGGACAACGGCGGGAGGGAACGGCAGAGCTGAATGGACAACCACGGGCTTGGACACACACAGCGGGGTTTGTGGGAGGCTGGGTAAGTTCCAGTGGGCGAGAAAGGAGGTGAGCGAGCGAGTCAAGGTGGAGATGAGCTTCTGGGTGAGTCCAAAGTCTCCTTGCCTTTGCCAAGGAGAAATGCCTTCTGTTCCCCCTGCCCCTCCCTCTCCCCCTCCTCCTCACTCCTCCTCCCCTCCCCCCTCCTCCCCCTTCCCCTCTCCTCCTCACTCCTCCTCCCCTCCCCCCTCCCCCCTCCTCCCCCTTCCCCTTCCCCTCTCCTCCTCCTCCTCCTCCTCCTCCTATTCCGGGACTGCAGTGAATGGAGGAATGAGAACCCCAGAACGTCTTCAGAGCTCAGGCTCGGCCCTGGTCAATCCCCAGGTCCGGGGTCTGCCTCTTATAGGGTTTTGTGTCCCCAGGCTTGTAGCCACCTCATAAGTGTCTGTTGGATTGAAGTGGATCAGACAGAGGGAAGGGAGGAGAAAGGGGAGGGACCGGAGCACCAAGAAAGTGTGTCCCCCTCAGACTCTCAGTTCGCGCGTCCGTAAGATGGGACCGTTTCTAGAGGTTCTCCAAGGTCCCTTCCGGCCCTCTTCACGGCTGGGGGAGGGTCTCCTTAGAAGACGGATGGGACGTCTTAGGGGGAGGAGGAGGGTAGGCAAAGGCGCTGGGATCCGTCAGGATTTAACTCAAAGCGCTCCAACAACCCCAAGGCTTGGGGGCGGGTCGCCAGTGGTTAAGGGGGCGGGGTCTATAGGCCAAGCCCCGGTATGAAATGGGGCGGGGCCTGCGGGACCCTGGGCTGGGAAGATAAGGAAGGGGCGGAGTCTCCAGGCAGTGACGCTCAGGAGATGAGACGAGAGGAGCTATGGCGGCCTCAGCGGGACGGGAGAAGAGCAGGGGCGGAGCCTCGGATCTGGGCAGAACAGGGGATACGGAGAAGGGGGAAGGGTAGTGCTTTTGAACTGTGTGGGGCCAAAGGGGCGGGACCTCCGGACAGAAAAGCGCGGGTTAAGATGTTCTCGGAGGGGGCGTGGCTTTCCTGAGGAAGGCGAAGGGCAGGGACAGTGGGCGGGGCTTCCAGGTTGTGGGGGCGCGGGGCGGGGCGATGTGTGGGCGGGGCTTCGTGTCCTGGGGGCGGGGCCCGTTCCCCAGCGCCGGACGTCGCGTGCGGCGCTCCTTCAGTCTACGGCGGCGTGAGCCGGGTCCGGTTGAGGGGCGGCCGCTCTCCGCGCTCTTGTTGGCTGAGAGGCTCCAGCTCGGGGCCCCCTAGTCCCGCCTCGGCCCCGTCGGCTCCCTCCCGTCCCGCCGCCGGCCATGGACAACGGAGACGTGTACAACCCCACCACGGAGGGTGTCCCGGCCTCCGCGAACGGCCCCGGGCGCAGCTCCTGCAGCTTCTCCCTGACCCGGCCCAGCCGGCTCCGGGCCCCCGTCAAGCTGGCCGAGCTGGTGAGGTGGCGGGGGGAGGCAGGCGGGGTCCCCATCTCCCCCCTCCGCGCCCCGGGCCCACTCCCGGCGTGCCGTCCCTTCCTTCGCCCTCAGCCTGCAGCCCCGGCCTTCCCTCCGCTTCCCCTCCCCCACCTCGTTGGATGGCGGCGCTTCCTGGAGAAACCCCCCCCTGATTTTCACCCCGCCCCGCGAAGAGGGAGGGGTCACGGGTGGAAGTTTAAGGAAGTGACCCCCTCCCCAACCGCCTCACCCCGCCCTTGCGGGTCCTAAAGGGAAGTTTCGGGCCTCGGGATTTTAGAATCGGAAGAGACTTGGGGGGGGGGGGTGGCGTGGATCAGAACTGGAGTGAGCCTGGGGAAGCAGCCCCAGGGGGCTGGAGTGACCATGGCGGTCACCCGAGAGCCGGCCTCCGAAGCCAGGGACCCTAGACAGCTCGTCAGAATCATAGCGAGCCTGGCCCCGCATTTTACACATGAGGAAGGGGAAAGTCCTCGCCCCTGGGGCTGGGGGCGGTCGCCTTCAGATGGGCAGTTTCCCAGGCCTGGCTCCGGGGACTTGGGTTAGTACGTGTCCACCCCACCCCCCTTCATCAGTTTGCTCCCCCAGCCCCTGGCATGTTTTAGATCCTGAGCATTCATTCCCAGGGCGAGGGTGGGTTGAGAGGGCACCCACACAAGACTGTTGGTGACCTAAGAGCTGAAGATCCGGTTGAACGTGTTCAAGAAGTGGTAGGATAAGGGAGAGTTGGGTTATTTTCATGCCGTTTAGCTCACTCCTCTCATCGGGGACCTTCCTCTGGCCATTAATCATGGAGTCCGGGTGTCCTGAGAATGGAAAGCCCTGTTCATGAGCTTGGGACTTTTCCCTGGCCCTTGTTTACCTCCTATAGCAGTGAAGGCTTTTTATTTACCTCATTGCAAATGTTAGGATATCACACGATACAGATTCTACGAATCTGCCAGGGTTTTCCTAGTATCTTTTAAATTATTAGCTCAATTTGTAGCATTTGGACCTCAAAACTCCATAAAACTTAATAAGGATAACTGACCTTTAGGTAAAACTCTAAAGTTTGCATTTAACCTATGCCTCAGTTTTACGCTGAAACCACCTGGGAGGTTGTCAATCCAGATATACGTATTTGTTGATGCTCAGAGAGGCAGGCATTTGCCCGCGGTAACACAGCTAGTTGGTCTCTCACTTGGAATTGGGAAGATCCGAGTTCAAATTCCACCTCAGAGACTTAAGAATTAACAAGGGGTTGGGAATATAAAGACAAAAATGGAATGATTTCTCAAGAAGATTCAGTTTTATCATAAGAAACAGTATGATGCCCAGATGTGTATGTCTGTGTGTATTAGGGAATGGCTAGCAACGTGGGGGTGAAGATAGCAGCTCGTGGGAGCTGAGATTTGAAAGAGGCCAGGGCTGGGTTTTAAGATAATGGAGGTCAGGAGAGAGAGCATTCTGGGCATGGGCCTGTGAATGCTGTGCAGGAGGGACAGTGAGAAGGGCGTTTCTTTAGGTGGCAGTGGATGAAAACGTGCTACTTTGCAATAACTCTGGGCAGGTAAACTGGAGCCAGCTTGTTAACAGAAGTTGGAATTTTATCCTCATGCATTAGAGAGCCATTAGAGCTGCTTCAGCTGCAGAGAGAAAAGAAGCACCCCACCCAGGTGAAGGGGGCTTGAACTAGGGGGTGGAAAATCCTTTGGATTTAAAACTGACTTTTACTTCTTTCTTGCCTCATTGCTTTTCTTATCCTCTTTCTAAAAATTGGTGGGCACCCCCCCCCCCCATTGCTTCAGAAGTGGTGAACTTAACTATTTCTAACTGAAATTTCTTCATCATCTTTAAGAATTGAACATAACCAGTGATTGTTGATAGTCATTACCTTTTTTGGCTCTATTTTGGTTTTGAAATAGTTGTCTACATATTCTTCATTCTCTCAGAAAAATTGGGGCAAAAGGGGGCCAGGCTGGAATATTTCAGGCTTTCTCACTTTTTTTTTTTTAATTAAGAAACACAGTTGCTCTCCACACTGGGGTGACATACTTTGTTTCGATTTCATTTTTCTCCTGGAATTTTTGTGCTTGGTTTAGCTTTGTCCTTGATGTTTTTTATAACATTGTATCATTATCTCTTCCTTGTGTATTCTAAGACATCCTACAAAAGCCTCAGTTGTATACCATTTATAAAGGATAGGAAATAAAAGGCATGATACCTGACTTAATAGACCTGTAGCACTGCAGAGCTCATGCAGAGAAAACAGGGCTCCTAATGTGGATCAGAAGAGGAGTATTTCCTTTTTAATTGGAATTATTTAAACCTAGCATGGTGCAGGACAAAGGCTCTGCCTTTTAATCCTGGGTCTCTACCAGTTACTGCTGACGTTTTTAAAAAATGGTATCTTGTCTATCAACTTAATTACCAATTATTCCTTCTGTACCCAGTGAGGAATCTCTTAAAACAAGGATTTTAAAAAGAAGAAAACAATCTAGCAAAAATTTGCCAACAGGTCTCCTCAGTCTGATCCTATCAGAATAGTCTATATGATAATATATTCTACACCCACTCCAGTCCTGTCTCTATGCAAAGAGAGGGCACCTGTCCTTGAACACTTATGTGACCGTAACTTGCTGGGGCTTTAGCTCTATCGTTCTCTATCTATGTCAGTTCAGATTACTAGTAGGGCAGATATGTGATGTAGCAGACTATGAAGGAGTCATGGTCGGGAAATCCTGAGTTCACATCTAGCCTTAGACACTTAGTAAATGTGACACTGGGCAACTGGGCAAGTCACTTAACTTCTGTCTGCATCAGTTTCCTCTGCGGAATAATAATAGCACCTCCCTCCCAGGGTGGTGAGGATCAAATAAGGTCATATTTGTAAAGTGATTGGCAAACTTTAGAGAACTATGTAAAGTCTAGCTATTATTTTTACTGTCAGTTTGGATACAGATAGCTGAAGGTTTGAAAACAAGTCAGGGAAAGGGAAAGAAGAGTTTGGAGTGTATGATGATTCTAAAGCTAGCTAGAAAGTGACAGGTCACACCAGGATTGGAATCTTGTTCTTCTGACTCTTGGTCCCTAGCCCTTTCTACTAAATATCGTGCTTCATGTACCACCTGCATCTGGGTGATGCAGTGCACAGAGTGGTGGGCTTGGAGGCAGGAAGAACTGAGTTCAAATCCAGCATCAGTTACTAGCTGTGTGACTGGGCGAGTCACTTAACCCTTTTTGTCTCAGTTTCCTCATTTGGAATATGAGCTGGAGAAGAAAATGGCAAACCACTCCAGTATCTCTGCCAAGAAAACCCCAAATAGTGTCACAAAAAGTAAGACCCAACTGAAAAATGACTAAATAAGTAAAAAGATACCACCTGCAACTGCTTTTTCCTTTTGAAGCTAAGCCTCCAAATGTAGGCAAGGATGAGAACTTGATTTCCCAGGGCAAACATTCAGATAAGCTTCAGGCGACTGCTCTGTCCCAGAAATGTTGTACATGTGTGTTGGGAATTTTTTTAAAGGAGTTTTTTTTTTGTTTGTTTGTTTTATTTTGTTTGAGGGGAGAAGCTCCTAGTGCTCAGGTTTGCAGTTTGGTTTGTGTAAGCTAGTAAATGAATTATAGTGCAGTGAGCTCAAGATATTTATGATATACTTGTCAACAGACTCTACATTGTGATGCCGTACCAGTTGAGTGTCCTGTTTGCACAGTGCCATCATTGTAGTCACTGTCCAGTTAAGCCATTTGCTTTAGGATTCCCCGGTGATATCACTTTATTAACTGAGAAGCAATGCTGCTGTTCTATAATAAAGTAGACTTTTGGGCCCCAGCTGAATATTAAGTAGCTGCTTTATTACTGCCACCGTTTTAACTTGAGAGTGTGCGTGCACTGATGTGAAGTGCTGTGTGAGTGTTGGTGACACTGCCCTACGTGCCTAGCCAGGGCAAGTGATTTTTGAGGAGATGGTTAGTACGGTCATTAGGTTTTGGGTGTGGAGCCCATAGTATATCTTACCCCTCTTCTTGCCGACAATGCCCATTTTACTTTTTACTTCATGGGATCATAGTTTTAGAAATGCGAGAGTCAGAAGAGCGTCATCAGCCTTCGTTCCCTCCCAGAGCAGGCTCGTCCTTTGTTCACCAGTAAGCGCTCCTGCCCTCTCCTGTGTCCCTGCAGCCACCTCTGGTCCTCTTCTCTCTCCTCACTTAGACTTGATATCAACCACCTTCTCTTCGCCTCTGGTCTGTTGCTCTAATCCACCCTTCAAACTACAGCTGAGGCAGTTTTCCAAAGCTTGGGCTCTGATTGTCCTTCCTTTCCTCAAGTCTTTGGGTGCTTCTGATTGCTGGCAGAATGCAGTACAAGCCCCAGATCCCAGCATTCAGTGCTTGATACAAGCTGCTTCCCTTAGGTAGTCTAGGTTCCAGCAAACTGGACTGTTGGCTGTTCTTGAAGCACCTTCCTGGCATCAGGATTGCATTCCCTCTGTGCAGATGACCCCTTCATCTCAGACTGGATGGCACGTGGCGTGTCACACAGCAGGGTCAAACCAGAACCTCTCTGTTCCTATCAAGGTCACTCATCTGCCAGGGTCTGACCATGCTGCCCCCCTGCTCGCTGAGGTCCAGTGGCCCTGCTTACCTCCAGGATTGAATGGAGAGTCCTTCCTAACCTGGCTCCTTCCTGCCTTCCCATGAACCCTAGAAGCCAGCTTTTTGGCCCTACTTTGTGTTCCCCAAACACAACCCTCCATTTCCTGTCTGTGCTTCCAGGCTGAAACTGCTCTGGACCCCTCGCTGTCACCTCTTCATTTTCCTTGTTTCCTTGAAGGCTTGGCTCACATCTCACCTTCAAGAGATCTTTCCTGGGCCCCTCTCTTTCCTCTCTGGGATCACCTAGCTGGGGCGAGGACTGTGTGTGCCTTTCTTTGCCTTCCCAGCACTCAACACAGTTCTGGGCCCAGAGCTCACACTTAATGAATATGTCTGCCTGCTGG